AAGGGCGTGTACCTCGGTTGCAGTTTGTCCCCGGCCCTGGTCGGTCGTGCGGGTGGCAGCCACTCGATGTGTCCCTTTTACATTGATGTTTCTCTCTCTCTCTCTGTTCCTCTTTCTCCCTCCCACTCTACCTGAACAAAAAATGGAAAAATGTCCTCCGGTGAGGGAAAAAAAAAGAAGAAGCTGTAAAATGTAAAAATGTGATAATTTACTTCCATTTTCCTCCTGCTTTAAAAAACAAATCACTGTAGTGATCATAGGTTCAGACTGACAATCTTAGTATCCAAGGTCTGGGTGTTTTTTAGGCAAGCCTGAATTACACAAAATAATTTATGTAAACAGGCCTTCTGAAAGCAAACAGAAGAAATGCAAAGAAATACAGTAATATTGCAAAATGCTTTGCTAATTTTAGAGAAAAGTGTGTACATTTATCTTGTTTAAAATTAATATTACAACTCAGCATTTTGTTTACCTTTAAATCCAAATAGACAATCTCTCATCAGAAATAGTCCAAAATTTTTCAGATAGCTTTCTTTCTTTAAAAAAATGTCTATCTCATATCTGCTTCCAGCCAGTATAGAATAACAGGGACTGCATTTACACTCCCACCTTAAACAATTAAAAATCTGTGCAAAATATAAAAAAATAAAAACAAAAAACAAAGAACCCAGTTTTAATGACGTTGAACACTAGGCAATTGAAGACAGAGATGGGAAACAAATGAGATGAGACATGGGATGTGCTCTCCCTGATGTATTGCCCTGGGAGATATCTAGGCTGTGGTGCAGGAAGGAGCAAATCAAGAGGCACCTAACAAACTCCCTGAGTTGAAGAGATGGAGTTGAAGAGTCTGGGAAGACCATGGACACTAGAGGTCACAGTTACCAGTGAGGAGTTTTCTGCACAAAGATTGCCAGATATCTTCTCAGAGGCCTCCTATGTGATCTACAGAGTACTGTTTATTGTTTATATTTGAGAAAACTACCTGAGCCCATTGTAGGGAATAATCTGGAAGGATTACAGAAAAAATTTCTAGCAGTCACAGAGGACTTAGAAAAAAATGCCTGTTCTCATCTGGAAGACTGGAAAACCTCATAAATCATGGACATTGGGTACGGTGTCCTTGCTTCAGAAGATTCTTGCTTCAGTAGTGGGGAATAATTAGCCCTACATGAAACACTGTTCAAGACTTGTCTAACAAATCCTAAAAAGCAAGATTTAAAAGAAACAAACTTGAAAGTTTCCAAGTAATTTGTTTTCCTTTTAAGACAAAGCTAAGAATATTTATAAGAATATAAAATATCCCACATTCAACAAAGTCAAAATCATGATATTTAACATCCAACCAATAATTACAAGGCCTGTAGAAAAGCTGAAAAATATGTTCCTATACTCATCAAAAGGGATTCATAACTAGAACAGATATTAGAATTAGCAGTCAAGAGAATTAAAAAAGTTCATCTAAGCTGAATTCCATATGTTGAAAAGTTAATTTGATACCCCCAAAAATAAAAAGAAACCCCAAATTGAACTTCTAGAGAAGAAAATAACAATGTTTGAGATTAAAAGATATTGGATGTGATTACCAAAATATTACACATTATAAAAGAAAAGATTACTACATTTTAAGACACTGCAGCCAAAATTATCCAAAATAAACAGAGAGAGAAAAAATATTTTAAATGAACGTCAGTGAATTGTGGAAACACTTCAAGAATCCTAATAAACATGTAATTAGTGTCTCTGAGAGGGAGGGTGTATAGAAAATATATTTGAAGAAATAATGGCACAAACTTTTCCAAATTTGATGAAAACTATAAAACCTACAGATTCAGAAGACTGAGCAAACCCCAAACACAAAAAAGCATGGAGAGCCTTGGCCCACGGTCCAGAGAGACTTGGGTTTGGTTCCCATTAAGGGCACATGCCTTGGTTGCAGTTTGTCCCTGTCCCTGGTTGGGGTTGTGCGGGAAGCAGCCACTCGATGTGTTCCTTTCACGCTGATGTTTTTTTCTCTCTCTCTCTTCCTCTCTCTTTTTCCCACTCTACCTGAACAAAAATAGAAAAATGTCCTTGAGTGAGGATAAAAAAAAATGTATGAAGAAAACAGCATCAAAGAAAATCATAACTAAAAATTTCAAAACTAGAAAAAAATGAAAAAATTTAAAGCAGCTAGAAGAAAAAGATATAAAGATACTCCTTGGCTCATGATGGAATATGTCCCAATAAGTACTTTATAAGTTTAAAATATTATAAGTTGAAAATCCATTTAATACACCTAACCTTTCTTACTATCCTGCACCTCGCCTACTTTAAACATGCTTAGAACACAATATACAAAAGGTGCAGGCAACACAGGATACTGTAGAGTATTAGTTGTTTATCATGTGATTGTGTGTCTGATTAGAGCTGCAGCTTGCTGCCGTATCACATATTGTTATCCTAGGCAAAGGTAAATATTCAAAATTTGATGTGCTGGATGTGTATTACTTTTGCACCATTGTAAAGTCCAAAAGTTGAGTTGAACCATTGTAAGTTGGGGACCATGTATTACATATGAAAAAATTAAGATAAGCCTGACAGCAAATTTTTCATAAGAAATGATGTAAAGATGGAGACAGTGGAGCACCATCACTGAAGAACTGAAAGAAAATAATATCAACCTAGAATTTTATACCCAGTGAAAATAACTTGCAGATATGAAGGCAAAATAAAGACTTTTTCAAACATACAAAAACTGAAAGAATTCATTGCCAGTAGACCTACAGTTTGAAAAAAAGAAGTTTAGGGAAGTCTTTTAGGCAGAAGAAAAATAATACCAGATGTAAATATGGACCCAAACAAAAGAGTGAAGATCACCTTAAATGATAACTTTAATACCCACACCCAGAACTTCTATCTTACCACATCATGAGTTGGAACATGAGTATGCTTCTGACCCAGCTTCAAGAAGAACACAATGATAACAAACTTGGTCCCTGACGGACCAAGGGGAACAGAGCTAGCTGCCTAACAATCTGAACCACTCACTTGGGAACTGTTACTAAGAAATTAATAAAAGTCTATAGTTTTAGGTGTCTGTATTTTAAGGTTTAACTGATACTTCAGATTGACCCTAACTTAATTAAAGCAATTCTTTTTTTTTTTTAAATATAGTTTTATTGATTTTTTTAGAGAGAGAGAGGAAGGGAGGGAGATAAAAACATTGATGTGAAAGAGATACATCAATTAGCTGCCTCCTGCATGCCCTCAACTGGGACTTGAGCCTGCAACCTGGGCATGTGCCCTGCCTGGGAATCAGTCCAGGACCTCTCAGTCCATGGGATGACACTCACTCTACTGAGCCACACCGTTGGGCTAAACCAATTATTTTTAAAGCTGTAAAGTTGTACCTTCTACTTTAAAATTTTTAATGTACTTGGATTTTTTTTCCTCACATGAAGACACAGTTGATCCAGAATATCATAATGGAAATGCCATCTTTTTTTCACTAATCTGAAATGCCAACCCTGTCATATATTAATCACCTACATATGCATAGAAGTCTTTCTAAGCTACTTGTTTTATTAGCTTGTATCTCTCTACATCAATATTATGATATCAGTGTGTTAATTAGATATGTTTATACAAAAATTGATATCTCATAGGGCAAATATTTCTTAAAAATTGTTTTTTGTTATTGATTTTTAGAGAGAGAGGAAGGTAGAAACATCCATGAGAGGGAACATCGATTGGCCACCTCTTGCATGCCTCCCACTGGGGATCTGGCCCACAACCTGGTCATGTGCCCTGACTGGGAATCAAACCAGCAACCTTTTGGTGCATGAGTCAACACTCAACCACTGAGCCAGACCGGCCTGGGCTCTTAGGGCAAATATTTCAACTTTTTCTTCCTTCCCAAGTGTATCTTGGTTCTTCCAAGTATATTGAATTTCTAAATACATTTTAGAATCAGTTTTTAAAGAGTAGATGATGAGATTATTAGGACCTCAGCTGTATCACATTGGTTTTAACCTCTTATTATGTTTGATACATGCAGAAGTCTCCAGTCTGATGACAAGGGTTAGTTTAAGAGTGACTTTTTATCCTCACAGCTATAGTGGTGATAGCACATATGATATTGAAAGGCTGACACTGCCTACCTAGTGGACATCTAGAAGTGAGATATCCTCTCCCTCTCCCAGAGTTACCCACCCACAGTCCCCTAGAAATAAGGGTAGAATCTTCCGCTTGGTAAACATTAGCTTTTGTTATTTTGGTGTAGATCATGTGGACACAACTCCATTATTGAAACCTTATTTAAGTGTATATTCACTGCACATTGAAGTTATTTCAAGTATTGGACCAGATTATATTTATCAGATTCTCAGAGAGTAAAATATACAAAATTTATTTTACTCTTCAGGGTTTTCAATGGACTCTTCTTGACAGACTCAAGGTTTGAATTCTTTATAAGTACATTTTAATACTTTGTTGGGGAATTTAGGCAATTTATTCAACATTCTTGCTGTTGAGTGCCAATTTTGCTCTTGGTATTGAACTAAGTGTTGAATATTCAGCAGTAAGAAAATAGATATGGATCATTCTCTCATGGGAAAAATCTAACATTGAAATAAAATAAACAGAAGTATAAATATTTAATTAATTATAATGTTTAATGCTATGGAAGGGAATTAGGGTTTTATTTCAGAATAATTAACTGGAAGGAGAAGAATACATTTTTCATGTATTAGAGCATTTCATGTACTAATGAAACCTGATTTAACTTGTAACATAACTAGACTTATGCAGCAAATTAAATGTAGTTTTTTCTCTACAATAAATCCACTTATTTATTCCACAGCATCCATGTTTATCCAGTTAGTGGGCTCACAAAAATGACCAAGGTCTTTGAGCAGTTTGTAGTTTAATGGTTTACATACTTAGTAGTAGTTCTCAGTAAAATAATTGTATACCCAATGAAAACATAAATATATCATTTTTCTTCCTTTTTGTTTTAGATGAGGATAGGCATTCACTCAGGCTCTGTGCTGGCTGGAGTTGTTGGGGTAAGAATGCCACGATATTGCCTGTTTGGAAATAATGTCACTCTGGCAAGCAAATTCGAATCGGGAAGCCACCCTCGGCGCATCAATGTCAGCCCCACCACATATCAGTAAGTGTTGTCTGGTCTCCTCCCCTTGTCTTTGGCACTGCCTTGAGCTAGAAACTTGTTTTTGTCATACCCTATTCTTTTTCTTGATTCTCTCATTATCTAAGATAATATGAATAGATCTGCCCAGTCTGAAAGACAGCAATTGTGACAAAAACTTTTATTTGCACCCTGAGAGAGTTCCTGGAAAACCTGACTTACTGAGAGGTAAATACAGGTTTGTCATTTTCCATACTCTCTGTTCTTCTGAGGTATACCTGTTTAAAATATAGGAGAACAAAGGTTAAGTGTCTGCATTACATTAGAAATCCTGATATTTTCAAAATGTTCCTCAATATTTATGAAAATCAAAGGAATAGGATAGAGAAGGCAGTTTATTTTTCTTTTGAGTAATTAATATAAATAAGGATGCTTTCAAGTGAAATGATATATACTGGGTACAGAGTAAAAACATCAAACTCTGTTGATCATAAAGGTCTTATTTGAAAACTCTACACTTTTTTGACAGCTGAACTCATCCTTATATTGTGCCTGGTGGATGTCATCTCATCCACTAGATATTAAGTTCCATATAGACAGTGACCACATCTGTTTGGCTCATCATTGTATACCCAGAACCTACAAAAATGTTTATCACTTCATAAGCACTCTATAAATATTTATTGGATTAGTGAATAAATGCATTAATAAGATGGACTTCTCTAGAATAACAAAACAGTATGACTAGTCCCTGTTAGACTTTGACTTTCTGCTAGGTACGGTGTGCAAGTTATTTAATTAGTGTCATGATTTAGATGACTTCAAAATTATTGTAAAACTACAAAGTAGAAATGGTGGTCATTTGACATTTAAAAAAATATATATTTATCTTTTAGAGAGAGAGGGAGAGAGAGAGAAACATTGATGTGAGAGCGAAACATCAATAGGTGCTTCCTGCCTGCCCTCTACCAGTAATCAGTAATGGGGATAAGACTACTAGGGATCCAGCCAGCAACCCTGGACACATGCCCTGATCAGAATCAAACAGTCAACCTTTTGGTGCACAGGAAAATGCCCAACCAACTGAGCCATACCAGCCAGAGTGATCATTGACAATTTTTATTAACATGGTTACAAAACAAAATGAAACAAAACAAAATTGGAGATAAAATAGATACATTGAGCTGCCATGTAGGGATAGTTTCTCTAATTGGCATGAAATCATATAGTTCTTACTAATGCTTTATAAACCTATTTTTTACATTTAGTCTATCTTCTTAGAACCCTTCTCCTCATTCTTTCCTTGTATTCTCCCTCCTTTCCTTTTTTCAAAAAATACTGTTGAGTACTATATTCCAAGTACTGTGATAGACACTAATATTATAATAATGAACCCCATAAATATGACCTCTGCCCTCATGAAAGAGATCACAGATGTGTCCAAGTAAACAATTAAATAGACTGGTGTTGAAGTCAAGACACCCTGATTAGATTACTAAAGAGGAGAAGGAATAGGCTAACATGAGGATGAAAGAGATACACTGAAGTCAGACCATCCAAAGGTGGTAAGTCAAGTCAAGGTTTTTCAACCTAACACTAAGAGCAACAAAAGACATTGAAGAGTTTCAAGCAAGGGGGTGACTTGGCCAGATTTGTACTTTAAAAAGATCGCTAAGGTTGTAGAAAGGAGAACAGATTAGGAGGTCCGGGGAGGAGTAGCAATCCAATGATTAAGAGCAGGTAGTCTTATTCCCACTACTAATTACTGAGACCCTAGAGTCCCAACCATTTGCTTTCAGTTTACTTTTCTGTGCTGCAGAAGAATGGCTGGACTCAATAACTTTTAACATCCATCTGAGATGCCATTAAAAAACACCTTGGCTCCTGGTTAAGTTTCTAGCAAATTAAGTGTATCATATAATCTCAGTGTAACTGGGTTTTCAGATTCTGGATCTTTTGTGCTTAAATATTTCCTGCTTGTTTTGTCTACCCCAGTCTGTATAATTTCTCTGTATAACTGCTACCTTCCACACAACAGAGGTGATTTATGAACCCACAGGTGTAAGGTGTACACCAGGACACTCACAGTGAAAGTCCAGAATTGACTTCTATTAGGAAACAAAATTGCACTTTCTTAGAGCAAATAAGAATTTGTGAAATAAAACTGAGGTTTAAGCTCATGAGAGCTTGAAATTTCCAGTTTTCTTTCCTGAAATAAATCCTGTAGAATGTCCAATATTGCCTTGTCATCCTGAAATCTTCAGAGAGGTTTATATTGAATTTATTTTTAGTAAGACTATATGATTATCATAATTTTTGAGAAAGTGAATTATTTGGATATTATGATAAATTGAAATAATTTTCTGAATAACTTATTTCAAATATATGTTGCCTAAAATATTTAAGTAGTTATTAAAAAGCTTTATAAGTAGTTTAAAGTACTAAAAATTAAAGTAAATAATATAATACACTCATGATACCTTCATCTCATCACTTGTTTAATATTTCATTATATTTGCTTCAGTTATTGTTTAATAAAAATAAATAAAACAGCCCTGGCCAGTTTGGCTCAGCGGTTAGAGCATCGGCCTGGGGTCCAGAGAGACCCGGGTTCGGTTCCCGCTAAGGGCACGTACTTCGGTTGCAGTTTGTCCCTGGCCCTGGTTGGTCGTGCGGGTGGCAGCCACTCGATGTGTCCCTTCACATCGATGTTTCTCTCTCTCTCTCCCTTCTTCTCTCTCCCTCCCGCTCTATCTGTACAAAAAATGGAAAAATATCCTCGGGTAAAGATAAAAAAAAATAAAAAATAAAAAAATAATAATAATAATAAATAAATAAATAAATAAAACATTTCCTTTAAAATTTTCCTTTTTTTCATTGTGATAAATACTCTAATGAATTTGGTATGTTTCAAAGTTCAGTATTTTATATATTAACTTTCTATATATATGTAGACAATATAATTTTATTTTATGTTTTAATTTGTGTGATATGTCACTGCATGAACTTTTCTCTAACTTTCTAAAATTTCATACTTTAAGATCTATCTATGCTGAGACACATACATGTAGCTCAACATTTTAATTACTATATTATTCTAGTGTATGTCTACACCATATTTTAATTTTACTCATCTATTTCTCTATTGATGAACACATAAAGTTTTTTTGTAATTTTTAATTACTAAAAAGTGTTCTCCCATGAACATTATTTACTTGTTATTACATAAGTTAGCTACTTTACATTTCATGTGATATAAATAATTGAATTTCCTACAGATTATTAGAATTGAAATGTTTATCTCAAAATTTATTTGGACATAAGGAATGAATATTTTATTTTATTTATTTATTTATTTTTTAATTTTTTTGGTATGTGCCCCTAACGGGAACCGAACCCAGGACTCTCTGGTCCGCAGGCCCACGCTCCAACCACTGAGCCAAACTGGCTAGGGCCAGGAATGAAGATTTTAAAATCAGGGCCATAACTTTTATATGGTGGTCTTTATTTTTTCAGTAATGTACAGGGACCATGTCCTCTTCACCTCGAGCACTTTTACTTTATTGATAGTTTTATTTCTGGACCAAAAAAAAAAAAAATCTTTAATGAGTTTTGAATTTTCCATGTTTGATGTTTTTGTTTATGTTCAATAAATGTGATGTTTACCCATCTTTGTTCCCATTCATCCAAATTTTAAAATAATATGCACATTACAAACAATTGTCTTTTAACATCAAACTACTGATCTGTGAAACTGAAATAATTGCTTATATTAAGGACAGTTTCAGCAAATTTGGAAATGGCATGAATAATTGAATGATTTGCCTGAGCAAATCATTAATTGTATTTCCTTGGTATGTGCAAACTAAAAATGTAGAAAGATTCTTTAATTACTTTGATATGAAAGTTTCCTTAAACTTTAAACATTTTTGCTTTTCTCATTTCACAGTTGATTTACTTCTGGACTTTTCAGAATGTCTATTTTTCATTTAGTGTGACAGACCCCATCTTCTGTTAAAACCAAGTCGCCCTATGACCACTGCTAGATACCCAGCTCACCATACCAGATGCTATACAATGGAGCAGGCTAAGGTAGTGGTTAAGTACACAAGCTCTGGAGTCAGAGTGGTTTTAAAATTTATTGCCTGTGAAATTTGACAATTTAGTTTCTTTGGGCCCAGTTTTCTCATCTTTTAAAATTAGTACCTAGTTCAGAAGATTATTGTTAGGATTAAATATGATTTTTATAAATCTCCTAATGCTTGAAACACAGTGGTCATTCATTTATTGCTTTATCCTAGACTATCTTATTCCTGCACTTGAGTCTCATATTTAATAAGCTTAGCCATGTTGAATATGTGTAATAGTTGTATTACAGACCACATCTGGCAATCCCAAAGATGTGGGTTTGGTAATTTGGGCAAAGGCATTTTGAGTTATGACACAGTACCCAGCTAGTAATCACCTTATTCCTATAAGTTTTTATTAGCTAAGGCATCTTATTGATGACCAAATCATAATTATGTGATAAAATGTGACTGTTTTCTTGGTAAATCTTCAAATTTAAGTAGTGGCACTTAATTCCATATATATTAATTAGATTACCAGAAACTTTGTGGCCTCAATGACACAAATTAATTATCTTACAGTTTTGTGGGGTCTGATATGGGTCTCACTGTGCTAAAAACAAGGTGCCAGCAAGGCTTCAGATTCTTTAGACTGTTTTCTCCCTTTTCCAGCTTTTAGAGTCTGCCTGCATTCCTTGTTCATGTCTTCCTTCCCTGTGTACTTGAAACCTATATAATTTTATTAACCAGTGTCACCCCAATAAATTCATATCTATAATAAAGCAGGCCAAGATACTCTCTAAAATATCTTTTACCTCTAAAATGTCTTGATAGTAATAGCAAACGTTTATTGGATTACTTATTTTCTTTAAGCAAATTACCTAATTTAATCTTCATAGCAAGCCTGTGAGTCAAGGATCGTTATCTTTATTTTACAGAGAAGAAACTGAGACTTAG